AAAAATGGGTTCTTGACTTCTTAAGGAAAAATTAGAGACTTTAACGGTCCAATTCCGAGTTCAAATGGCCAAGTTATGGCCATTTGAAGTTTATATGCTCTTTAAATGAATATTTGCGAATTTCTTCATTTAAATTTTAATTTAAAAAGGGTTTATTGCGTCAGCCGAGGGGGAGGGGCGCGCGGACCGGGTCCACGGGAGTGGGGCCCACGCGGCAGCCTCACGGTCCGCGGTGGACCGGGTGCACCCGGGCTCACACCGGCCGGCGCCGTGGGCCCCACACGTCAGCCGCACCCAAGGGCGCGGGCGGCTGACGGCCGGGCCCCACGCGGCAGCCACTCGGCGCGCTCGAGGGCGGCCATGCCGGCACGGTCGGCGGGAGACGGCGCGCCCGCGCCCCGATGGTCGCCGCCGGCGACCACCGGCGCGGCGGAGCGGCGGCCGAGAGAGGGGAGGGAAGGGGGAAAAGAGGCGACGGTCCACGGCTCACCCCGGGGCGACGGCGGCGACGGAGGAGGCGGCCGGAGCGGAGGGAGGCGGCGGCGCGGCTCGGGTCGACGGCGTCGACGGCGTTCCGGCGGTCGGCGACCGAAACGGAGAGGTGGACGAGGTCGGCGAGGATGCGGCGAACCCGAAGGAGGCGGTCCGGGGCGACGACGGCGGCGGACCGGAGCTTGGCGGCGACAGCGGAGAGAGAGAGCGACGTCGCGAGCTCGAATCCGGCGAGGAGGAAGGGCGGCGAGAGGCGGAAACGGACGGAGGAGGTGCGGGGAGGGTTTAAATAGGGTTGGAAGGGGGAGAGAGCAGCCGGAGGGGAAGGAAACCGGCGCGGGAGGTCCGGCCGCCATCAATGGCGCCGACGAGATTTGCGGGGGCAAATCCGCCCGTTTGAACGCGAGAGAGAGAGGGAAAATAGGGGGAAAGGGAGAGGGGATCACGGGGAGTAATTCCCCCCTATTGATTGCACGCGGGGACGACGGGATGCGACGGATTCGGCGGCGGCGGCGGCGCTAGGCGCGGGGGAGGCGGCGGGAGCGGCGGGAGGTCGGGGATGACAGGTGGGCCCCACCCGTCAGCGAGGGTGGCGGGCGGGCCCGCCCGTTAGCGGCGCGCGCGCGGGGAGAGGCCGAGTGGGCCGCAGGGAGAGGAGAGAGAGGGGGAGGGAGATGGGCCGAATTCGGCCCATTGGAGAGAAGGAGGGATTTTAGGGTTTTTCTTTTTATAAAACCTTTTTAACTTTGTTTATTTCTTAACAATTATTATTTGTGCTCTGAAAATTCCACTAAAATTTATTTACGTATTTTAGGCTTTTAGGAAATATACAAAAATCCTCTAAGCCTTATTTGACTTTTAACCTTGCACATTTTAATTGTTGGAGGCTTTCACACGGTTTTTAATTATTCTAGGCATAATTTAGAGGATGTATTTTAGAGTCGTTTTGGGACGTGACACCAATTTCGGCTAGCACACGGCAAGTTGGTGACGCAGCGGCGCCTGTTCTTGGAGAATTTCACGCAGCATGCATCGAGGTATATTGGTTGGTGGGAATCGGCGTCGTGTCCGGCCTGTGCGCTTTTATTCACCATAATCACACCAGTACAATATTTGGGGTAGCCTATCTAACTGTTGTCGACATGGCGGTCTGAAGGTCTGACTCATAGTCGACAATAAGGTAGCATTCCTCCTCGAATCCGTGCTTGGCGATATCAGAGATAGCGCTTTTGTCTCTCCTGACAGTATCCGGAGACACCGTAGGGTACTAACCGTGCTTATCCCTGAAGTCGATATCCGGCGGCGTGTCTTGGCGTATGTAAGCTTCTATATTGTGGCTTCTATGTCCATTGTGTTGGGTGTTGATCCTCCTCCCTCTCCTCCTAGGGGAGCTTGTATTTATACCCATAGGTGTCCCCTTGTCCAAGTAGAACTAGGGAAACCAATATGGATACAATCCGAGTAGTACTTGTCGTTTCCATGTAGAACTTTGGTTGTCTTTCCTTATCCGGAACTCCTCCTATGTCCGAAGGTTGCTTCCGTATAGGACATGGTATGTAGTGGGTTCTGCCGAGATTTAGGCAACTACTATTAGGTATGTGGTATCCATAACCCTGACAGGCTCGGTCTGACCGGTTGTGGCTCTGGCGGCTCTGTATCGCCACCAAAATCAGACCAGAGCAACAGACCAGTGGGGCCGGTCAGACCGGCCATACCACGCCGGTCAGACCGGCTAACAGCCCCAGTCAGACCGACCTAAGGCCCACGGTCAGACCGCAGGTCACTTTTCAGCACAACCAACCGTTAGTAAAACGGCGATATCTCTTGACTCGGATCTCGGAATTTGGCGTTCTTGGACTCTATGGAAAGCTTATTCAAAGGGATATCCAACCCTTGAACAATCCATTCAAGAAACGCAAATTTTCTCAAGGAGAAAGGGCTCACACTCCAAAGGATACACCACCGGACATAACCACATGAGGCTACCCAAACCTATAGGATGTGCCTACTTCTCTGTTTGTTTGGGACTTGATAAAACTCACCACACTTGGCTAGACAAGCCTACAAAATGCACCTATATGCATATTAACTAATATGGCACAAGATCATCCACATGCTCGCTTCATAGACCCCTCTTGATAGTACGGTGCCTATCTAGCAAATCCGGTCTACACCAAACACCAAGACCGAGAAAAGACTAAGAAAACATTCTTAGTTCTATTATACTTTTGCCTTGCGCCATCCAATTTGGGGTCAATGCTTGAGCCAAGATCAACACTCGTGACCATTTGCTTGAACCATGTTTATCCAAAGATCTTGACCATCCTTTGTCAAGACTTTCTTCTCATCACGATCTTGACTTCACTATTGTCAACATGGCGATGTCCTTGTCTTGGTGACCATCAACCCATGTTGTCATCCATTAGCCTCATTACGGTGGAACCTATTCCTTTTCACATCTCAAAGGAGAACATTAGTCTCAACAAATCGGTTGTCCTCCTTCACTTGATGACCAACCGGTTGCATATGAAAGATATGGATATGTTTGTTGAGTATTCATTTACACCTCAAGAGTCATATACCTGTATGCAAGCTCAAGTGCAAAGATCCGATATAAATATTTTATTGGGAAAATTGTAATCGTGCCATTATAATTTTACAAAAATTTGAGATATGCCATCCTAACCCACATGTCATTTACTCACGTGGGTCCTACATGTCATTGAGATACCGATGGCATATCTCAAACTTTGAAAAATTATAATGGCATGGTTCCAAATTACGCTATGAATAATAGGTGAACAACATGGATCTAGAACATGCACAATAAATATATAGGATTTGCTCCCCCTAAGTATATGCATACAAATAAATATACAAGAGAGACAAGTGTATGCATAAGTAAAGAAGAACCAATGGGGGTTTATCCTATATACATAGAGAAGGCATATATAGTAATGATGTGGACCAATATAAAATATATACCTTCATGATCTCCCTGTTCTTAATGTAAATTAGACTAAATAAGATATGACTCGAGTAAACATTAGTCTCACACTTATATAACGATAACATGAAAATCATACATATAAACCTATCAAAAAGGAGATAAGAAGTGGTACATATCGTTTTATCTCTATGCATTTCATCCTTGTCATGATTAAGGTCCATCACCAAAGAATGCATATCTACCACATCTCATCATCGGGAAATAACCTAGTCAACAACTTATGAAAAAGAGAGGTTAATCCCATAAATATCGATTTATCATCTATCACCAAAGCAACAATTACACAAATTGTTTAATCCAAGATCTTTCAATCTTTTCTCTCTTTTGTGATAGATAATAACCCGATATAAACAACACAAAGAGATGAGATGAAAGATAATTTCAAATCAAGCTAGAGATCTTATAATGAACAAAATATAGAATAAGCTCCCCCTCAAGATGTGCATACATATGGATATGAAGGAATGCATATGCACATAATCAATCAAGATCAATGAGGGAGCTCACACTATATTTTGGATCCACAAGAGAGACCAAGTTAGAATATGTGAAGTTTAATACATACCTCTCATCATTTTTACTTTCATATCCAAATAAGACTAGTCAAAGAAAGGCTCATAAAAACGTTAGTCTCACATAATTAGATTTGTCATTAATCACCGAAACCAAATTAAGGCACTTGAACTTACACACGCCGAGGTCGGCGTCGGAGGCAATGTCGTCCGTCCCGAGGACGATCTCCGACTGCGCACGTCGGTGCCTCGCCGCCCGCCGCGGCGGCGAGTCCGGCATCGTGGCTACGTCGCACGACAACAGCGACGACGACTCCACGACGAAGGTGGCCAGTTCCATGTGGGGACGGAAGATCAGCCGCCGGGAAGGGTAATGCGGGAGTGGAGGTGTGCGGGGGCGGAGGCGGAGGACGAGGGGAGGCGGGGCTAGCGGCGGATGGTGCGGGGAGACACGAGGAACGGAGAGGAGAGGAGAGGAAGACATGCTCTCGTTGAGCTTTGACCATCGTTGCCACTACTGCTTTAGCTCCCGCCGGCCGCCACCAGTCTTGCCCCCGCTCGCCGCCGCTCCAGCCCGTGCTCCCCGCGGCCGGCTGAAGGGGAGAGAAGAGAAAGAGAAAGAAAGAGAGAAGGGAGGAAAAGGGGATGAAGAAGAAAGAGAGAGATGATGACAAGTGGGTCCCACATTTTTTATGTGTGTGAATGACAAACGGGTCTCACATATATGTTTTTAATTTAAATGCTACCTAAGCACCACGTCAACCCCACAGACTAGGTACCACGTCAACCCCACAGACTAGGTCAACACCATCATGTCAGCGAAACCGCCCTCCAAAACATCAAGGAAGTCAAATTACACCGGTTTCAATAGTTCGGGGGTCGAGACATCCGGTTTTACGGTTTAAGGTCATGGATTAGATTCGGGTCATTTTTAAGGGAGTAGGAGTGGACTTATTCCCCAGCAATTTGGAGGATAGAAAACAGCATATCTAAATGCACAACACAACCATTCCATTCATGTCCTCTTGACCAGCAACATTTGTTCAATCTCAAAAAAAAAAAAAGAAATAGTACTACCTAAACAATATATCTTCAGTTCACCTGCCCTTAGCGGGGCTTCGGTTGGCTTTGTCTGTAAGAGCTTGTTCACTGCTGTAATCGCTGCTAGTGTTTCTCTGACTCCGCGGCGCCCTTCGTGATCGTGGCCCGATGGACTCACCGGATTCCATGATGGAACTGTATGTATCTTCTGCGTACGTTATCCTAAATATAGAGTTTAGATCTTCTCCGTGCGTTTCTCCTTGCAAGTGCTTCAGGATCTGATAGGAGGAAAGAAACTTCTTTTCACATTTATGTGTCACACATCAAATATTGTTCTCTGGTTATGTGGTTATTGTTCTATTTTATTCAGGAAATAAGGCACATGTGATTCTACGACTATTTCTACTGAACATTTAGCAGTTTCAGCGTTTCACCATTTTCAGGGAAGGACTGAATTATACTCAGGGAGTAGTGATTAGGAAGCGAACCTGAACCATGGATGGACGCAGATGTGCTGATTGGCGCACGGCAGCGGCGGCACACTCGATCATTCGCATCATTATGTTTTCATCATAATCATCTCCAATATCTGGATCAACAAGGATATCAAAGTTGCCTTCCTCCGTAGCTTCGGAAAGCAAGGGTTTCGCCTGAAGAAGTATATTCAGAGGAAATGTTTTGTCAGGCTAAACATCAAAATTCCTCTCAAAACTACATTTATTGGAGTGAAGGAAATGTCTTAGATGTTAAGGCATTAATTTATCAAGAAGTTTGTTGTTAGAAACTGACCCAAGCAACTAACGTGCTATCCATGTAAGACTCAGATGACTGAACCGGCAGCCTTCCAGTTATCAGTTCCAAGAGGACGACACCAAAAGCAAAGACATCGGCTTTGTCAGTAAGTTTCCCGCTAGACAAAAACTCTGGAGCTATGTACCTGCAGAAAAGAGGATGTGCTAGCTATGAATATAATGAATATGGTAACACTTATCCTATAGATATTCATGTCCATAAATAAGAGGGAATGCTGAAGAAAAACTGACCCAAATGTGCCCATTATTCTTGTGGAAACGTGAGTGTGGTTTCCTGGTTGATACTTTGCTAGACCAAAATCTGCAACCTGCAAAGGATCAAAACATACTGAGTATAGTACTGTGCAATGGCATATTGTTTGCAATTCAAACTCGTCCTGTAAAAACCAGATCTTCTTGAAACGTTGAACAATATGTGCAGAGAGAGTACCTTGGGCTCAAAATCATGATCCAGCAGAATATTGGATGCCTTGACATCACGATGTATAATTTTAGGAGAACCTGAATAGTAAATGAAATTTCTCGTATTGTATCACAGTTCAGCACTAAATATTAAATCGAATATAACACGAAATGGATGTGTAGAGCAGAACTAACAGTCATCGTGTAGATAGGCCAAACCCCTTGCAGACCCCACAGCGATTTTCCATCTTTGCTGCCAATCCAGAGGTGGCCCCTTGTTCCCTGCATATAAAGTTCAACATCAACATGATCACATATAAAGTTCAACATCAACATGATCAGAGTAAAAACCAAGACCAAAAAACATTGACTAAACAGTTAGCATGCATTTGACAGAAGAAAAAAAATATGTAACATACATTTTTTCCATTTTAAATGTAGACATAGGTTTACCGTGTAAATGCGTGTCGAGCGTCTTGTTGGGGACAAACTCGTAAACCAGCAGCCTCTCGTTGCCGGAGATGCAGAACCCCACGAGCGAGACGAGGTTCCTGTGGTGCACGCGAGTGATGATCTCCACCTCGGCGCGGAACTCGCGGTCGCCCTGCTTGCTCTCCGTCTTGAGCTTCTTGATCGCCACCTCGGTGCCATCCTGCAGCGTCCCCCTGTACACGCACCCGAAGCCGCCCTGCCCGATGACGTTGTCGGGAGAGAACCCGTCCGTCGCGGCGGCCAGCTGGTCGTACGAGAGCGAGCCGCCGGTGGGCAGCTCGGTGAGGATGTCGATGGAGTGCGGGCGCTCGGAGCCGGCGTCGGAGAACGTGCCGCTGGTCTGCGGCGGCGTCGGGTGCTGGTGCTGAATGAAGTAGTGGTCCGACGGCGGTTGCTGCGCAACGAATGGCTGCGGCGGAAGGTCACCTGCAAGAACCAAGTGCGCGCGGTGAATATCTCCGACGACGACGACGACATGGCCGTACACGTTGGCGAACGTGACAAAATGTGCGCACCTTTGTAGTAGGGGTTGGGGTTGTATATTGGCGGTGGTAGCGGAAAAGGCTGGGCCTGCCGCCGCCGCCTGCGCTGCCGCCGGCATCGACGGATCCAAAGCGTGAGCACGCACAGAGCCAAAACCGCCCCGACGACGCCGGCCGCCACTATGATCCAGACCACCGCCGTAGAGCTCAAGCCCGAGCTCGAGTCCTTCTGCGGTGCCGCGGGCGCCGGGTCGGAAGGCGGGGCCGTGAGCTGGGCCAAGGCACGGCGGACTCTCTGCCCGTCGTCGGAGGGCGTGACAGGTCCACCGGTGGTCAGGAGAGCCTTGGCGCGGCCGACCACGTCGCCAGCGACGGCGTAGAGCTTCGCGAAGGCCGACGGCTCTTCGGGAGGCACGTACTGAGGCGGCGTCGGCGGTGGCGGCGGGGGCACGAACGCCGCCGGCCGCGCCCTCTCGGCCGGCTTGGAATACCAGAAGCGCGCCCACATTTCAGCTACTGCATGTGCACAACAGCACAAGCATAACCCGGCACGCGCGAAACGGAGGCTTTTATAAGCTTCGGCCTCGCTGGGCTGGCTTTGCTGTTGTCTCGGCCTGGTTCTTAACCATGCGGCGCCTCGTGCCCCTGTTTCCGCGCGAAACAGAGTGCAAACGAGCTGCGCGCAAAAGCGAGATAGCCCACACGGTTTTGGACCTCGCCGCGGCAGAATTCCACTGGAGGCATCCACCGGTATGTAGTGTTGGTAACAATAACAGCAATTCGTGGCAAATCGGTGGATCGGACGGCTGGAGACAGCAGCAAGGACCGGACTTGTTTTTGTCCTTGTTTTATGTGCTGGGCAGTAAGGGTGTACTATAACTGTATACGAGAATGAGCAGTTGTCGCTATCCAAAACAATGAGTTGGCGGTCAAATTTTTTAAGGTATTGAACGTGTAATGAGTAATCTGGTCACTCAATCGTGTGATGGTGAAAGTGCTAACGGGTCAAATTCAGTGATGGATGTCAGGGTTAAAATTCCATAAAATAACTAGATGGGCATTGTCATCTCTGCGAGTACTGCGAATTGATCAGATACAGGCATCCGTAGAAGCATGTGTTTATACGTTGTTCGATTGTTCGTGATATTCTTTGCAGTAGCCTATCGTTTTTGCAATATAATGGCTGAAGCAAAATTCCAGTAGGTAAAAACGAGGGGAAAATATGTGGGCCTTGAATTAGAGAAAGCCACCAAACTAGTCCTACTCAACTAAAGCGATCCAACCCGTCCATTCACCTTTTCTATCCTACGATCTAACATTCTCTTTCACCGTCAAAATAGTGACAGAATCAGTTGTATACACACCAGTAAAAAAAATAATTTTCCAAATGGTCGGATCGTATTTATGCATGTGGTTGAGCCGCTCGTCTGCCTAAAAATATTCATGAAAATCGCTATTTTTATGCGGGTGGTGCAACCGATTTTTCGTGTGTCTGCTTATATCGTCTGCACGTAAAAATAAAAAACCTAAAAAAATTAAAATTCCTAAAATTCAAAACCCTAGCTCCCATCTGTGCCCCCCGCTGGCGGCGGCGGCGGCGCGGATCCGGCCGTCGTAGGGTCGGCGCCCGCGGATCCGGTCGTCGCGGGGTCGGTGAAGGCAGATCTACCCCCGCCCGCTGCCCAAGGTTGCCGAGTCGGCTACTGCTGTCTGAGGAAGCCGAGTCGCCCATCACTCCCGCTAAAGCACTCCACTACCACCGGTTGTTGCGGGGCCACGCGATCCCGCCACCGTCTGCCGCCAAGTGCTCAAGGTAGCCTTGCCGGCCACCACTCGCCGCCGACCAGTGAGTGAGAGGAGAGGAGGCGAGAGATAATGAGGAGGAAAGAAGCTGAGAGAGAGATGGAAAGAAGATATGGATGATGAGTTTAAAAATTTTAAAGTGTTGAGAGGGAAAAGATGAGTTAAGTCAGACTCTTAGGCAAATCCTTAATAAACTTGTCTGCGAAAATAGGCTCATTTTTTTATGCAGATATGTTATTGTCCGTCTGCTAAATTGATTTTTGCATATGGACCTCTTAAGAAACCGATGTGAAAATGCAGGTCGATTTTTGCAAACGCAACCAATTACGTCCACCTATAACCTAAAAGGGGGTCTTGTCTAGAAAATTCGTTTCTCTATTTGTAACATATGTACTATCTTTTAAAGCTTCGGTTGGATGAACCTAAATCTTGGCTATTTCAGAATTTATTAATCACAAATTTAAGAATTATTAAACTAGAGTCCATTCTATTTCTAGTTACAGGATTTATTTAGGGTTTAACACAAACTCTCACGATGTGGTCACATCCACTAAGTTAGTATAGATATAGATGTAACTTGAAAGGTGTTGTTTCCTTTTGCAAAAAAAAAATATATATCTCCCATAAACTATTTTTCTTACGGTACTGTCATCTCATTGTTTCCTCTAAAAAGAGGTATTTCTTATTGGGTTAATTTCATCCATATATTCGTAATCGTGTCACTAAAATTTTATAAAATTAGAAACATGCCACTAACGTCACGCTTTCCATCCCATCTCTCTTTTTTTCCGTGTTCTTCCATCTTTCTCCCGTCTCCTCTCACTCTGTGTCGTCCCTCTCACTCACGACATGGAGGAGGTCACCTCCGACGCCGCGGCGGCGAAGGAGGAGGAGACAGGGGGCCGCCGGCCACCGCCAGCCAGCCACCGCGCCTCCCACCGTCGCCGCCACTGCTCGCCCGCCTCAGCTCCGCCGCCAGCCACAACTCCACCCGCCGCCACCGCTCGCCCGCCCCAGCTCCCACCGTCGCACGCGCCACGCCGTCGCCAAATCCGCGGGGGAGGAAGGCGGTGGAGGAGGAGGTGGAGCCGCCGCCCGCTCCCGGTTGCCTCCTCGTCGGCGGCGGCGCTGCATGAGGTCGTTGAGCCGGCAAAGCCTGCCGCCGCCGCCGCTCGTCCACCGCCGCCACTGCTTGCCCGCCGCCACCACTCGCCTGCCCCAGCTCTGCCGCCAGCCGCCGTGCCTCCCACCGTCGCACGCGCCACATCCGTGGGGAAGGAACGCGGTGGAGGAGGAGGAGGAGGAGCCGCCGCCCGCTCCCTGTTGCCACCTCGTCGGCGGCAGCGCCACACGAGGTCGTTGAGCCGGCAAAGCCCCGCCTGGTCCTTGAGCGCCTCCTCCGCGCAGACCGCGCTCATGCTCGCCATCACCACGAATGACGACGCCTTCTTGCTCAGCGACGAGCTCATCTTCACCTAACTTGGTCTTTGATGGATGATTCCTCGCAAGCAGATGCTGTGTTTCTTGGAGCTAGCAGATCCTGGACTTCGTGACGCAGTGGCTCGTCGGGGTCTCGCCGGCAATGCCGTGCCCGCCATCCACGACGACCACAACGTCGTCACCGAGCGCGTGGCCTCACGTTGTCACGGAGAGAGAATAGGGAAGATAGAAAGAGTGATCGAGTGGTATGGTTTCAAGTTTAGAAATTTACAGTGAATAGTAGTGGTATATTTTGATTTTCCATATTTACAGTGGCATGGATCATATTAATCCTTTCTTATTAATTGTTACATGTGTTACCTATACGTTGTCATTTTACCTAACAAGTACAATGACTTTATGAGATCAGACCCATATACCATTGCATATAAGGGCAATGAACAGTACCCACAATAATATCCCACTGCTGGAGATAACCGTGCTACGGCCAATGACTTCTCAATGTTAGCATCAACCCATCAAGGGAAATAACAATTAATAGTATAGGTGTGTTCTCAGTTGCAGTCGTATTCAATATTTTCGTTTCTTTTATTTGTATATCATATAAGATCACCTTTGTCGGTGACATGGGACCGGGAGTATCATGACTAGAGGCTTGAGGCAGACACAATCGCCCACGTGGCATGGCTCCGTCAGGGGGCGTCGGGCCCGAGGGTGATGTGTTCGCCCTCCTCTTTACCGGGAGTATCATGACTTAGAGACTTGAGGCAGACACGATCACCCACGTGGCCTAACTCCCTCGGGGGGGGGGGGGGGGTCGGGCCCGAGGGTGATACGGCCGCCCTTCTCTTTGTCTCCCCAAGGGGTCGGGCCGCTCCCGTCTCGGCCCCGAGGGCCGAAGCGCCCCGACCCCTTGTGGGTTTTGCGCCACGTATATGGGGTAGGTGAGCATGGAGGGGCTCACCTAACCACATTTATTGCAGTTTTGACGAGCGCGTCACGCCGCATGTATCGCAATACAGCACGCTCGTTTATCCGGTCTGTGACCAGTCACAGACCGGTCAGATCATGGGTTAGGTGGCGACAGGCGGTCTGACGCACGCCTCGCCCCATCCCGTCAGGACGAGAGCCTCCAAGCACTCGTCCCTAGCTGGAGCCGGCGTGTTAGCTCCTGGAGATGGCACGTTGGTTCCGGTCAGATATATGCCAGGCTTCATCCTAACCATTACAGGCAAGATATTGTATGAAGAAGGGCGAACATGCAGATTGTTAAGCTGACACGTGGTGGACAAGAATGACCGACGTGACTGGTCTGACTCCGGTCATGTCGTCAGCAGACAGCCACGATTCCACGTCGCATCTGCTCCCGGCGAAAGTGGAGGTAGTTATGGGCCGTCCCATCAGAAGGTGACTCGGACGGCAACTATACAAATCTCCGTCCATTTATGAAAAGGTAGGGGAGGTCCCCAGAAAAAAGAGGGAAATGGTGCATGTGGTATCCCCTTAAGATATAAAAGGAGGACCTTGCCCACTGAGATAGGGAGAGGAGATTCTTTTTGGACTTTTCCAGAGAGAGAGCTTTTTCTTGGACTGGACCTTTCCAGATTAGGAACCCAGAACAAGGGAGAGGCTGGCTGATACTTTGTAGCTCTTTCATACACAGATCTCCCAAAACACAGGAGTAGGGTATTACGCTTCTCAGCGGCCCGAACCTGTATACATCGCCGGTGTCTTCTGTGCTTCCTGTCTCGCGAACCTTCCACATACAGATTGAGAGCTTAGAATCTCACCCAGGGTCCCCGGCCGAACCGGCAAAGGGGGGCCAGCGCGGTCTCCCGGTGAGGAGCCCCACGCTCCGTCATCTGGCGCGCCAGGTAGGGGACTCTGCGAGTGATCTTCTGAGCTCTTGCACTCTTTCGTGTGCGCCAAGCTTTTCCTGTTCAGCCTCATGGCTGAGCAAGCAAAGGCGCACGACCTCTCTCCGAGTGTGAGTGGCGACGACGGGGAGCCGAACCCACGCCGTCGAGCTCGTACTCCACCGCCCCCTCCACACCAAAGTCCTAAGCGGGGGGAGGCGCTCGAGAGGGCCGAATGATCCGCGACTTCGACATCCACAGGAGGTGGAAAAGGGCGGCGAGATGGGGAGCGTCGCCTCCTCGTCTACGGCGACGGCAGCACGCCCCAGGGCGCGCTCCAAGCTGCGGGCGCGCTCCTGCGTCACCCGCCTGTCGTCCCTGACCCGGAGTCTCCAGCCCAACGATGGCTGGACGACGTGGCCAACTTGGTCATGACGGCATAGCGGCGCCTAGGTGCTGGTGGTCGGTCCTCCGCCACCAAGACCTCTGGCGCTGCTACCACCGGCTCCGTGTCGTCAAGGCGGAGGGCGCGGCGAGCGGCGGCTGTTGCTCGCCATTCGGCCGCCACTCCTTCGTCAGCGCCTCCGACCCAGGAAGATCTGCGTGGGGGGCCGGATGCCCGCATCGGTATCGAGCGCCGGCGTAATGGCCGACGTGCTGCCCACGCAACGGAGGGCGCCTCCTCGTCCGGAGTGTCACATCAACACGGACGCGGGGATCAGCCCTCCGTGCCCCCGGTTGGTGGTGTCGGCTGTAGAGCCTTTGTGGCGAGTCTTCGGAATGTCCGTTGGCCCCCAAGGTTCCGGCCCACCATCGCCGAAAAATATGACGGCAGCGTCAACCCCGCCGAGTTTCTCCAGGTCTACACGACCGGGATTGAGGCCGCTGGGGGTGACGACAGGGTCATGGCGAATTTCTTTCCCATGGCCCTAAAGGGGCAGGCGCGGGGTTGGCTAATGAACTTGCCACCCGCGTCCGTCCACTCTTGGGAGGATTTGTGCCAACAGTTCACCATGAACTTTCAAGGCACATATCCGCGCCCAGGTGAAGAAGCGGACTTACATGCAGTCCAGCGAAGGGATGATGAGTCACTTCGCTCATACATTCAGCGGTTCTGTCAAGTCCGCAACACCATACCATGCATCCCTGCACACGCGGTGATCTACGCGTTCAGGAGGGGTGTGCGGCACAACCGCATGCTCGAAAAGATCGCCTCCAAAGAGCCCCAGACTACCGCGGAGCTTTTTCAGCTCGCGGACCGAGTGGCTCGCAAGGAGGAGGCCTGGACTTGGAACCCCTCCGGTTCCGGTGTGGCAGCTTCGGCCGCCCCCGGGTCCGCCGCTCGGTCAGGGCGGCGGGACAGGAGGAGGAAGAAGAGGTCGGCCCATTCCGACGACGAGGGTCATGTCCTCGCCGTCGAAGGCGTTTCGCGGGCCACCCAAAAGGGGAGGCCTGCGAGCGACAAAAAGAAGGAAGCCGACGCTCCCTGACCTCGACTACTTGGAAGAGCGAAGGCGGCGCGCGGCCCTCCGAGCCGCGCGCTACCAGCAGAGCCTGCGGCGCTACCATCAGCGCCACGTCCGGGCCCGATCACTCTGCGTCGACGACCTCGTCCTACGCCGCGTCCAAACGCGTGCTGGATTGAGCAAGCTCTCACCAATGTGGGAGGGTCCGTATCGAGTGATCGGCGTCCCCCGGCCGGGCTCCGTTCGGCTGGCCACGGGCGACGGCACAGAGCTGCCTAACCCGTGGAACATCGAAAACCTTCGTCGCTTCTACCCCTGAGGGGGGGGGTCGGGTGTCAGGTCTTGGGCTCGGGCCAACCCCGCACCCCCCCGGGCGTGCAGGGTTGGCCGGGGGCTTATCTTTTTTCTCTTCCGTATTTCAATAAAAGCATTTTCGATTTCCTAAAGGCTGTGTCTGTGCTTTTGTTTCCTTTTGAAGAATCTTGACTTGAAATAGGTCACTCGTGCTCAATCCTACCCTCGGGGGCTCGGGTCGGCTAAAATCGCCAAACGGGGCCCATAACCGAGCCGTGCCCCGGGGCGTGGTGAACTCCGGGGGGGAATCGGCAAAAACCCACAATCGGGTCACCCATAACCCTCGGTCACCACGCTCCCGGCCTGGCAAGTCTCGACATGTGGATCTGCCTAGGCACTAGCCCCGACCCGAGCCATTTGAGGACTAGGTCCTGGGCACGAGCCCTTGTTCAAGCCAAGACACAGAAGGACCGTGGCACAGACCATCCTCGTCTCATACACAGAACAAATGAAATTGACATAAAAATTTCCTCTTTATTTGATTGCAGATTAAATCAGCCTATAACAAGAAGGGGGCCCGAAGGCCTCGGAAGAAGAAGGAAAAGCTATTAAGATTGGCGGAGGCCTGGGGGCTCACTCCGACGCGCCCGGGTAGCCGGCCTCGCCGTCGCTGTCGTACGCACCGTCGTCACCGCACTCCTCGTCGGAGTTGAAGGCAAACGCGAGCCGAGGGGCCGCTCATTATTGTCGGTCGGTTTTCCCTTGCTGATGCACGCGATTTGCGACCGCCGGGATTCTGCCCGAAGAGAGAGAGAGAGCAGGGAGGAGAGGCCCCCGAGCCGAACGGCGGCCCAAGGCCCCCGACGGCCGGAGCTGGCCCTCCACCTGCTTGTCCGACGGTGCCAGGCGCCCCCGACCCCCAGGATGGCCCCGAGGCCACTGCGGGAAGGCCGCACCTGTCGCCCTCTGACCCCGAGGTCATCGGCACAGAAGCCGAGTGCGCCCCGCGTGGCCTCTCCGATGGAGAGCGCCCTGGAGATGTGGCCCCTGACGAAGAAGATCGGCCCCGCCGAAAGGTGCAGCGGCCCGTCTACTTCGTTAGCGAGGCCCTCCGGGACGCTGAGACCCGATACCTTCAGGCTCAGAAGATGCTTTACGCTATCCTGATAACTTCGAGGAAGTTGCGCCATTATTTCCAGGCGCATCGGGTCACGGTGGTTACGTCTTATCCCCTCGGCCAAATCTTGTATAACCGAGAGGGTACTGGACGGGTGGTGAAATGGGCAATCGAACTCTCTGAATTCGATTTGCGCTTTGAACCAAGCCACGCGATCAAGAGCCAGGCCCTCGCCGACTTTGTGGTGGAGTGGACCCCAGCTCCCGAGCTCGTCTCCGCCCCCGAGGCCAGCTCGAGCCCATCGCAGCGGCCTCACACCGCCCTCTGGTGATGTAGTTCGACGGCACCTGTAGGAACCGGCCCCACCTATCACCAGGCCTTAGGAAGTGGCGTTACGCCCGACCGCTTCCCTCGAGGAGGGCGATCGCCCTGGCATAACGCCGGGGGCTACTGTCGGTGACATGGGACCGGGAGTATCATGACTAGAGGCTTGAGGCAGACACAATCGCCCACGTGGCCTGGCACCGTCAGGGGGCGTCGGGCTCGAGGGTGATGTGTTCGCCCTCCTCTTTACCGGGAGTATCATGACTTAGAGACTTGAGGCAGACACGATCACCCACGTGGCCTAACTCCCTCGGGGGGGGGGGGGGGGTCGGGCCCGAGGGTGATACGGCC